CACCAGGAACCCATGGAGACCATCAGGATCCCACAGGGACCACCAGGAACCCATGGAGACCACCAGGATCTCGTGGGGACCATCAGGAACCCCAAAACCCCACTGGGAACCCAAAAAGACCACCAAGAACCCAAAAAGACCACCAGGAACCCAAAATGACCACCAGGACCCCAAAAAGACCATCAAGATCTCATGGGGACCACCAGGAACCCACAGGAACCATCAGGACCCCAAAAAGACCACCAGGATCTCATGGGGACCACCAGGAACCCCAAAACTCCACAGGGACCACCAGGAACCCAAAAAGACCACCAGAAACCCAAAAAGACCACCAGGAACCCAAAATGACCACCAGGAACCCAAAACAACCACCAGGACCCCACAGGGACCACCAGGATCTCATGGGGACCACCAGGATCTCATGAGGACCACCAGGAACCCCAAAACCCCACTGGGAACCCAAAAAGACCCCCAGGATCTCAGGGGGACGACCAGGACCCCCAAAAGACCACCAGGAACCCAAAACAACCACCAAGAACCCAAAAAGACCACTGGAAACCCAAAAAGACCACCAGGATGTCATGGGGACGACCAGGACCCCCAAAAGACCACCAAGACCCCAAAACAACCACCAGGAACCCAAAAAGACCACCAGGATCTCGTGGGGACCACCAGGAACCCAAAAAGAACACCAGGAACCCAAAAAGACCACCAGGATCTCACGGGGACCACCAGGGACCCCAAAAACTCCACTGGGACCACCAGGAACCCAAAAAGACCACCAGGACCCCAAAACTCCACTGGGAACCCAAAGAGAACACCAGGATCTCATGGGGACCACGAGGAACCCACCGGGACCTCAAAGGACCACCAGGACCCCAAAAAGACCACCAGGATCTTGTGGGGACCACCAGGAACCCCAAAACCCCACCGGGAACCCAAAATGACCACCAGGACCCCACAGGGACCACCAGGAACCCATGGAGACCATCAAGATCTCATGGGAACCACCAGGAACCCAAAAAGACCACCAGGACCCCACAGGGACCACCAGGAACCCAAAACCCCACCAGGACCCCACAGGGACCACCAGGACCCCAAAAAGACCACCAGGATCTTGTGGGGACCACCAGGGACCCCAAAACCCCACCAGGAACCCAAAAAGACCACCAGGACCTCAAAAGGACCACCAGGAACCCAAAATGACCACCAGGATCTCAGGGGGACTACCAGGACCCCAAAAAGACCACCAGGAACCCACAGGGACCACCAGGAACCCAAAAAGACCACCAGGACCCCTAAAAGACCACAAAGACCCCACAGGGACCACCAGGATCTCATGGGGACCACCAGGAACCCCAAAACTCCACTGGGAACCCAAAAAGACCACCAGGACCCCACAGGGACCACCAGGAACCCATGGAGACCATCAGGATCTCATGGGGACCACCAGGAACCCAAAAAGACCACCAAGACCCCACAGGGACCACCAGGACCCCAAAACTCCACAGGGACCACCAGGAACGCAAAAAGANCCCAAAAAGACCACCAAGACCCCACAGGGACCACCAGGAACCCAAAAACACCACCAGGACCCCACAGGGACCACCAGGAACCCATGGAGACCATCAGGATCCCACAGGGACCACCAGGAACCCATGGAGACCACCAGGATCTCGTGGGGACCATCAGGAACCCCAAAACCCCACTGGGAACCCAAAAAGACCACCAAGAACCCAAAAAGACCACCAGGAACCCAAAAAGACCACCAGGAACCCAAAATGACCACCAGGACCCCAAAAAGACCATCAAGATATCATGGGGACCACCAGGAACCCACAGGAACCATCAGGACCCCAAAAAGACCACCAGGATCTCATGGGGACCACCAGGAACCCCAAAAACTCCACTGGGACCACCAGGAACCCAAAAAGACCACCAGAAACCCAAAAAGACCACCAGGAACCCACAGGGACCACCAGGATCTCAGGGGGACTACCAGGACCCCAAAAAGACCACCAGGACCCCACAGGGACCACCAGGATCTCATGGGGACCACCAGGGACCCCAAAACCCCACTGGGAACCCAAAAAGACCACCAGGACCCCACAGGGACCACCAGGAACCCATGGAGACCATCAGGATCTCATGGGGACCACCAGGACCCCAAAAAGACCACCAGGAACCCCAAAACCCCACCAGAAACCCACAGGGACCACCAGGACCCCAAAAAGACCACCAGGATCTCATGGGACCACCAGGAACCCACGAGGACCTCAAAGGGACCAGTGGGACCCCAAAAAGACCACCAGGACCCCAAAAAGACCACCAGGACCACAGGGACCACCAGGACCCCTAAAAGACCACCAGGAACCCACAGGGACCACCAGGAACCCAAAAAGACCACCAGGAACCCCAAAACCACCCCAGGACCCCACAGGGACCACCAGGAACCCAAAAAGACCATCAAGATCTCATAGAGACCACCAGAACCCCAAAACCTCACCAGGATCCCACAGGGACCACCAGGACCCCAAAACAACCACCAGGACCCCAAAAAGACCATCAAGATCTCATGGGGACCACCAGGAACCCCAAAATCCAGAAAGACCACCAGGACCCCAAAAAGACTACCAGGACCCCACAGGGACCACCAGGACCCCAAAAAGACCACCAGGATCCCACAGGGACCACCAGGAACCCATGGAGACCATCAGGATCTCGTGGGGACCATCAGGAACCCCAAAACCCCACTGGGAACCCAAAAAGACCACCAGGATCTCACGGGGACCACCAGGAACCCCAAAACTCCACAGGGACCACCAGGAACCCAAAAAGAACATCAGGAACCCAAAAAGAACACCAGGAACCCAAAACAACCACCAGGACCCCACAGGGACCACCAGGATCTCACGGGGACCACCAGGAACCCCAAAACTCCACAGGGA